TACATTTGACGCATAAAAACATCTAAGTACCATTATTTCACATTGTAGCAACAGCATTACTTATCAACCAAAACAGTTCGAACGAGAACCTGACATCATGTCTTATATTTCAATTAGTTTCTAGTCTGGTTGACTCCATGTATTAGTACACCCTTGTTTGATATTAACATGTTGTTGAGTTTCTTCACTTGAACTAATTTGATTAACAAATATTTGATTATCAAGCTCGATATTCTATTCACATATGAGGAGATCAATCTGCCACCTACAAAATTAACTACGTTTACAGTCTGATTTACAGATATCACCAATGTATCTTGTATCAGCCTTCACTTGCTGATGAATTATTAGATTTAAGGCAACAATTCAGATATAACTAGCCATTGATCTAACATGATTCATTCATTGTTTTCATAATAACTTACCAATAACATTTAAGTATTCTGTGTAACTTTTAATCAAACTGATTGACAAATTGAGTGAAGCACATATCGATAAAACAAGATTATTGAATACGTAACATTTTATTGATTTTTGATAGAATTTTGATGGGTTAGCAAACTGATATAGATGATGTGGTCCATGATAGGAAATCGTCTTTTTCACCAGTCTATTTCGAAAAACCTATTTATCTCCACTATCAAGGCGGTCCGGCGGCCTATGCTCCATTGGGAGTAACAGGCGTAAGTAAGTAAGTAAGTAATCAAGGCGGTCGGTGGTTACTCTGCCATTGAATCATCTTTACATGCCTCAAAAATTTCACTGAAATGTCAGGTTTACTTGAAATTAGCTATTAATTTTAACACATCAGGACTTCGTGTACTTTCACAACGATATTCTGAATTTTCACCAAAAATAGTGGAAGTTCAATCCGCTTATTTATTTTACAAAGTGATATATTCCTTACAAGCAGTATTGACATTCTGAATGTATTCTTTTCAAGTAGTATTGAAGTGAACGACAATACAAGTGGAGACAATCGAATACAATGGAACACAAAATTACAGAACATCTAAGTCAAATCTAAGAACCATACAGTGAGTACTTGATTTGCGAACTGTCAATCAATTCTCTTAAACTTGACAGTTCAGTTTGCAAATATCGGTCCATCGTCCCAGACTTCAATGTCCCTGCATTTTCATACCGTTTGAATTATATCCTCGATTTTTCCTCCTAAATCTTCTTGATGTTCCTCTGCCAGATATTTTATTCCTGACTATCGCTATAAAATACTTAAGTCGATATAAGTAGCACAAACTACTGTTTTACCATTATAAATATATGTTGATTTAATGGTTGAAATCATGAGTCGATTTAGCTAGACCATCATGGAAGAAGTTGAAGCTTGGAATGGGGAAATATATTCTGGAAACTGCCAGAAACCAGCGATAACAACAAACACAAATCAAAACGTATAGATACAGCATAAAACCGTCGTTTGGGAGAGTTAGCAAATAGCATACTAAAAGACACAACGGATCAGTAGCATTTAAGATATTTCCCAAGTGGGAAATACCACATGAAGATGACAAGAGCGCTTTTGGTGTGAAAATAAAACCATTCAAATTTTCTAAATAAAACCACAAACTTAAGTCGTTTTCCAAGTGAGTTCTATGGATCTAAGTTCTCCAACATATAATTACTATACTACTGATGAATAGAGATGAATGATTCATCGTTGGTTGTGATAGTGAGAGTTGTGTGTTGATTCGGTGCATTGGGTGTTGTGTTTGTGTTGAAGTAATGCATAGTGATTTGTGTGTATGCTAAGTGGATCTATTGAAGAGAGCATTGTGCGAGGTGTGCAAGTAAGTGAACCTTACAACTTCTTTATCTCATTCATTCACTCATTTATCCTTCAGGTCGAAATGTTGCCACTGTCACTCCGGATTTTTGGTCCGTTCAGTCATTTTTATTATTTGTTTATTTGAACGCATAAACAAATTAGTGAGCTAAAAGTCACCTCTATTAAGACCGTGCACAACCATCCTTGCACAGAAGGATATATTACTGTAGATCCTTCAAGACGACAGTTGACGTCAAGTGAACGCTTACATTTAAGAACGTTTCTATTGAGTAATACGCCAACTTGTAGCTTACGGCATCTGGTTTCTTGGACGTTCCATAAACAGCTAACCAAGGACGATATCGCCAAAGTGCGTTCACAGTTGTACCCACGTTGTTAAACTCACATCGTTCTTAATTGAGCGATACAGTTTACGCACAGTCATGCCAACATAGTGCTTTGTTCATTCCATGTCTTAAGATCATTTTTCAGGAAGGTTAGTGTTGGCTGTACAAATTATTTTCTGTAGTTTCGAAATCCCGATGTACGCAAATGCTTGGAACATGTTGTAAAGACTAGACGGTCTGACATGTGAGCTTCGTTTTTCATAACGCATTCCATTCAGATTTACTCAGAAGTACGAACATCTGAGAACCCATTTTCTACGGGTATTTAATTATATAAGACATTAATAGATTGCTCGGAAGTCAACGTTGGCTTGCTGTTACCGGCGTCATGTATTAAACTTGGGCAACCACACAAACAACCGTGTCGAAAGTGCTCATAAACACCTAAAAGAATGTCGCAGAAGAGGGGATTCTTTTCTATTGACGTTCTAAAAACTTTGAAGTAAAGCAGACATTGACCTGCATTTGCGTTCATATGACGCTGTAAAGGATCTTCAACGTTTACCAATGCTTGAGGTAAGAAATACAGTTAAATGTATCATTAATTTCAGGTTTCAATGTCATTCCGAACTCCTTTAAATGAGTCCACAGCTTTTGCAGCTAAAATTTTTTCAATGACTACATGCTGTTCTGTGGTCATATTTTGTACGCATATTCTAAAGATCTAATTCGTGGAGGTAAGTATGTGTTTCTTTGTCTCTATAAGTATTGTAGACTTATTTCGACATAGCAGCCGGTGGACAAGGACATACATAATGGACTTGGTTCATCGTGCGGTGGACAACATGTCAATCTCTACAGGGATTGATCTGATGGAGAAGTTCACTAACAACTACCCCTAAATCAATGCTCTTAGTGAACCTTAAAAAATTAAACTCATCCGTTCATACCTCGAAGCATCGGAAGACAAATGAGCACAACTTATAAGTTCTCTCGAAGCTATGATGAAGGTACATCGTCAGAATCCATTGTTCTCACTGACCATAGCTATGCTTCTTAATGACAAGAAGTTCTAATTTTGTAATCTTTTTAGTTTTACATAAATTCATTGATATAAACATTAACTTGTTCTTATAGCGTTACGGCAGGGAGAGTGTACATGAAATAACTTTAAAGTTAAGACTGCTTATGAAACTTCAGGCAGGAATATGACGCGTTATAAACTTTCCATAAGAAGTTCATGCATTTAGCCTAGTGACACTTACAAATATGTGGCAAAAGCAACTGGAAAAGATATACATGTTAATCACAAAAAATCATCCAATAAAATAGTAAAACTCGCCTGGATTATTTTTGAAAATTAGATTATTCAGTAGACGACATATATAACCATTCGTGAGGAGTATTAATGATCCAAAAACATCCAGAATAAAAACATACAGTATGGCAGTTAATTTAAGGGCGCTTGATGCGATCAGAACAATTGAATGAATCCAGATAATTGTGTGCTTTTCATTGAACGATCCATGTAAAATGACCTTATGATTGCAGAAAATTTATAGCTTAAACTCACCGTAAATTTCTAGAGTATTGGATCAGCAATCAACTCGAGAAGTGGAAATAAGCAAGCAGTGTATGACGATTAGGAGTACTTGAATCATAATGCGAACCTAAGAATCCCAGGAAATACGCCATTAGATCAAGAAGTACTAGATAA